CCCCAAAACCCCAAAACCCCAAAACCCCTTGACTTAGAAATTCTCAAATGTAAATGAAATTATGGCAATAATAATTTTGGAAAACATTAAAATTATATAATGAAGTTAAATCAGTCACAATCTCCAAAAAAGAAAAAAATAAACTAGATAAACTTTTTAAATCAAAGTTGACTTATGACAGAGTAATTAGCAGATGAAGTAAATTCAAATGAATCCACATATTCCATAGCAGATGAGAATTTTCCAAGTCTTAAAAGTAAAGTCAATCCTCATTCTTCTTTGGATAAATTTATAACTACAATAATAGTCAATGATTTTTCTTCTCCAATGACAAGTTTTAATTGTGTGTCACAAAACTTAGAATATGACTAAATATATCATGCTACTGGTCTTTCATAAGTAATCGATGTAAAATATTGAATTGATAAAATTGCTTTAGATTAATAAGATTCTTAAAAGTGAGTCAGAAGTCTTTAATATTACAAATACCAATTTAACTTTTGGGTTGAAGCCAGCTGAGATCAAGCAATTCTATAAAGATAAAAATAGAGATAGAAGTAAGATCAATACATTAGGCTCATTGATTTAGAAATAAGAAAAAGCTTATCATAGGAGATAAAGATATAAGATTTCAATTTGAATGGGACAGATGAATATGAGAGTTAATTTAGCTTTAAGTTAAAGGAAACTGTGATCGAGGAGGAAGTCATAAATGGTTCTGAGAATGAATCTTTGGAGTCATATGAAAATGAGGGAACTTTAAACTAAACTATGGCAAACATGAATTTTACTCAACTTAGCGATACTATGCAGCTGACTGAGCTCAACAGATCAAATAAGGTGCTTATCATGCCAACTCCTAACAAAGTAAAGCTTGAAAAATCTAAGTTACCATTTGAGAGAGAAGTATTATACAGATTTCACTTATATTAATTATCTTTAGGTGACCAAGAATAAGCTATAGCTACAATTAAATAGGATAGAGTAATATATATCACACCCATAATCACCAAACACCTCTATAAGGTGCTTTGAATCAAATCGCAAAATTAATAATTTGAGACTGCCTACAAAATCTATGAATCAAAGAAAAAGTATACTCAAAAATCCTAGCTCGGATAGAAGCTAGAACAGAAATGCTAATAAAAAGTAAGTCATGAAAATTCTATGGCAAAATATTGAAGATATAATATTTAAAAGTGCCTGTGCTTAAAATCTTATAGAGTGAGTATATTCATTCCTATTGAGGAAACTAAATATGAATTTAACGAATGTTCCTCATCATGTACTTCATCTTCAATGACTTCTGAAAGTTTTAACTCTTCAAATGGTTAAAGAGGTCATTTATGGGAAGAATAAATTGATTCTCATGAATCATCGGTATCTAAGGCTTCTAGATATGATAGATCATCATATTTTGATAAGATGAGTGCTAGAGATGAAGAGTTCATTGGAATGTTTACTAAAAAAAGCACATATGACCCAAAAAAGAAGTAAGTTTAAGTGTTTGCTATAATTTTGTAAAGATACGATTATGATGATCTTAGTTGGTGTCACAAAAAAATGAGAGAAGGTATAGTAGCGAGAAAGTTTCATTATTCAAATCATAAGTAAAATCAACCTTTTTTGTATAAATCAAATTATAGAAATGATAGAGTTAAGATTTGGATATCAAATGATGGCAATAAAATTAATTGGAGAAAAGTAAACTCTCAGACCCAAAGTTTGTTAGATTTGACTTCATCAGTAAAGATCAAAAATATTTATGGACTTATTTTTGGAGCTTTCAGTTCAACATTTGAAAATCACAAAGAATTTGTATTGAATTATTAGAGATTTAGTCGATTAACAAATCAAAATAACAAAAGAAGCTCTAGCTAGAAAGGTAGTAGTCCAGGCTCGAATATTAAAATTAGATAAAGACGCTAAGCAAAATCATACACAATGTCCTTGCATCAGGGAGATAAGCATGAAAATAACTTATAAAGGAGTGCAGCTCTAAAAACTGAGGATAAGATCTTCTATAGTTGGGAATGTGTATCTTTAATGACTCTTAAGAGAACATATGACTTTGTCATAACTGAAAGAACTGAGATGCTAGCATTCATTAATTGCATTCAAAATATAATCTACATTCATCATTTGAAGAGGAAACAAACTATAACTATACCTAAGTACTGTTTCCAATAATTTCCTCTTAGTAATGATTATTCTTTTTTTATAGTTCATTTTATAGGGTATTATAAGATTCTGATGTTTAAAATGAAAATATCATATATGGCTTGGGTTCAGAAAATTCAATTCAGTGAGGTGTTATTGAGAGCCATTAACAAGACTGTAGAACAATAGAAGCATTAAGTAATTGCAGAATTGAGAGCATTCAGAATGACAGAGAATATACATTAGGATGTTTTGGAAGCAAAGTAACAAGGCATACTAAAGCGAAAGAGTGTCTTTGTAACAGATAAAGATCAACTGTAAGCTAAAGGATCTCTTCTTAAGAGAAGGGAAACAATAGCAGCACTATTAAAAGAGCAATTATCAAAGATGAATACATACTCGAATGAAAGTAGGCATAAAAAGCGGCGTCACTCATTTCTAAATATTATCGAAGAGAAGTAAAAGTAATAAACATACCTAGAAGTACTTTCTAAAGAACTTAGACCCTTTACAAGGATACTAGAAAATGTAAATATTTTTTTCCCTGATCTTATTGAAACAGAACTATAAGCTACATCACTTGAAGAAGTGTGCTCTTTCGCATAAATTCTACATAGACAATTATTTATCATCAGATGAGGAGGAGATATAGAATAAGAAAAAAATTGCAAGAGAAACAATATTTGAAGCAAAAAGGCTTGAGTAACTTGTGAATGAGGAATTAAGAATACTTAATTTCAGATTATAATAAGTACTAAATTTAAAAGCTAAAGATGCATTCTTCATGATTAGCGAGGATATTAGGATGTTCACAAAAAACAAAAAGAAATTAGTAAGTTTAGTTTTTAAACTAATTTAGAGGAAAATTATTGATGAAGATAATTTATTAAAGAAGTAAAAATTCAAGAAACAAATTGAGGCGAAAGAGTTCTGGCGTAAGGCCAAGAATTATAGACAACTAATCTAAAAAGAGTTATTAGACTTTAATAAAGAATAGATTTTATCCTAGGCTAGGAAAATGCAGAGTATTGTTAAGTAATATTTTTTTGATATTTATGAATATTCTCAGGTAAAAATCATAAGAGTTCAAGAATGAGAGACAAAAGATCCTTGATAATATTAAAAGAATCAGAGAAAAGTCATTTCATCATAAAGCCAGTTCATAAATTCCAGAATTTCATAAATAAAGTGATGTCAGAGCTAAATCTTAGATAAATCAGGAATAAGGAGGATAATCGATTGTCTATCGTCAAAAAGAGCATTCACCGCTTAGTAAACTTTGGAAGCAAAATATGCTTAGGGATCATAGAAATCATCCATTCGAATTTGGAATTCCACAAACTATGAAAGAAGTAAGAGTCTCTAGAAACATTCAATCTTCTTTTATAAGCAAAAGAAGAGAATTCAGATATGCACCTAAAATTGAAGTATAATTTGAAGTATGAAAAAATAAAGTAAACGTATAGCAAAATAAATATAAGATTTATCTCATTAAGAAAAATGTTTAATATTTAGTGCTTAAGTTAAATTTTCTTGATTTTAAGGAATAAAGGGGTTTTGGGGTTTTGGGGTTTTGGGG